GACCCTGCTTTTGGGGTGTTAGGCAACTAAGGGCAACTGAGATGTAAGTTGAGAAAGCAGATGTCTAAGAGTGAATATTATTCAGAGTCAATTAACTCCCAAGTTACAAAAGCATAATATTAACTGTCTTCCATATAAAAAGGACATTGCTTTAAAGTAAACTATGCAAAAGATGGGGAAAAGCAACATTTAACTTACAATAAAAGTTCAGTTTCCTTATAAGGATCTAAGTTAACAGAGTCTGATTAGAGAGAAAAGGTGATTAACTGGTTGGGGAGGAGAGCATAGAGAAGAGTTTACAGATAAACACAGAGGAATGGGAGTGACTCAGGAGCACTGTGATGGGTGTAACTTGATAAACCTAAGCTCCCTGTAGCAAGGGAGAAAGGACAAAGCAATGTAATCCAAAACCCTGCATACCACCAGGTGTGCCCCCAACACACACATAAAAAAGGAAGTTTAAGCCCTGGTGAGCACATATGTGAACACTGTAAATACCTTTGTTGAGCCCCATAACCATGACTTTTATGCTTCAACTAAGAGTGTAAGCTCTAGAGAACACATGGGCAAGTGCTGTAACTGAAGGAGTGCAAACCTCACAACCTGGTGTGTGACCAACACTAGGGAGCATCACAACTACAGGTGCAGCCCCCAGTCACAACACATCACCAACAATGAAGGGAAGGTAGCAGGGGAGGGAGGAGAACTTCATTTAAGGAATTAATAAACAAAGGAGCCCCAACTGATAAGAGACACCAAAAAATCTGGGAGTAGCCCCTGAGCACTGCCAGGTGTGACCCAAAATCAAAACCTAAAACTGACACCAAAGAAAAGATAAAGATGGTGAGTAAGCATGTGAAAACATGCTCCACGCCATCTATCATCAGAGAAATTCAAATTTCAATGAAGATAAGAGTAAGGTGCCATCACATGCCATCAGAATGACCAACATACAGAACCAATAACACCAAATGTTTGTGAGGATGTAAAGCAGCAGGAACTCACATTTGCTTCTGTAGAAATGCCAAATGGTGTCACAGCCCAGAAAAAAACAGTTTGACAGCTTCTTACAAAATACACAGTCTTATCGCTTTATCCTGAAATTATTGCATTTCTTGATCTTTATGCAAATGAATCAAAACTTTTGGTCTACAGAAAAACCTGCACACCAACGATTATTACAGCTTTACTCATAATTGTCAAAATGTGGAAGCAACTGAGAGGTCCTTCAGTAGGTGAAAGGATAAACTGGTCCATGCAGACAATAGAACAGGATTCACTGCTACAGAAGAGGAACAATAGAGCCATGAAAAGACATAAAAGAGCCTTAAATACAGAGGACCGAGGATTCTGAGTATCATGGTTTGAACTCATCAGCTCAGCACAGTCTAGCAAAGACCTGGCTGCTGGCAGCAGTCAGGAGAGAGGAGGAGGAGGACCGGAAGCCACATGGAGGAGTTTGGAACTGAGCTCAGAAGCCTCTCATGTATTTGTTTTCTATGATTTGTTTTTTGGCACTCAGAGGCACACCCAACTGTGCTCAGGGCTTACTCTTGGAGGAGCTTATGGGATAGTATGAAGTTCTGGGAATCGAACTGGGATTAGCTGTGTGCAACACAAACATCATTTTGTTGTCATTTGGGTGCCACACCTGACAGTGTGCCCAGGGCCTATTCTTGGTTCTGCACTCAGGGATCACTCCTCATAGGGCTCAGGGAACCATATGGGAAGCCAAGGACCAAACCCAGGTTGGCTGCATGCAAGGCAAATGCCCTATCCTCTGTACTATCTGTCCAGCCCCAAGAACCTGAATTTTTAATAATGGTTAAGAAAACTGCCTGCCTTTTGCTTAGAGAGTTTCGGGCAGGTTGCAAAGATAGAAACATTCCTCCCCAGTGCAACCAACAAGCTCGAGAAGCTAACAGCCTCGAAGTATGGGCCTCTGTGTGTGTGTGTGTGTGTGTGTGTGTGTGTGTGTGTGTGTGAGAGAGAGAGAGAGAGAGAGAGAGAGAGAGAAGAGAGAGACTGTGCTCCCCCAACACACACACATACACACACACACACACACACAAACATGGACGCACACACAGCAGAAGGCGGGGAGATCCTCCAAAAGCTGTAGAAAGGGCTGCTGGTTTGGCCTCCAGGGAAGCGCAACAGTGTCTGTGCTTTTCACATTTCCCTTCTGTCTGCTTCCAAACAGACCCATTTTGTTGGTGAAATGCCAGCATGCTTTCCATTGAGATCAGCAAGAGGGCGCCGGACTGTTCCAAGCTGGTCATCTATCCCCTAAGGGACTGTGGGAATGAGGGTGCAGGGAGAGTAGCTTCTGACCTCCCCACCCCAGGCTTCCCAAATCTAACCTCTCCGTGGATGACTGGATTTTCAAATATATCACTCATGGGCAACTACCACAAAAAAATGAAAGCTAGTGAGTTATTTATTTATTATTACTATTATTATGATTTTGCATGGCAGAGCCTGGCAAGCTCCTCGTGGCATATTTGATATGCCAAAAACAGTAACAATAACGGGTCTCATTCCTCTGACCTGAAAGAGCCTCTAATACAGCACCGTTGGGAAGGATGAGTAAGGAGAGGCTGCTAAAATCTCAGGGCTGGGATGAATGGAGACATTACTGGAGCCCACTCGAGCAAATAGATGAACAACGGGATGACAGTGATACAGTGATTATTATGATTTTAGGGTTTGGGGTCACACCCGGCAATGCTCAGGGATTACGCCTGGTTCTGTGCTCAAGAATCACTCGTGCCAAGCTCAGGGACCATATGTAAGTGCCAGGAATCAAACCCAAGTTGGCCATGTGCAAGGCAAACACCCTACCAGCTGTACTGTTGCTCCAGCCCAAGTTAGATTTTTAAAACTAGTGAAACAACTTGACTAAGCTTTCCCCATACTGACTGAGGGACATGAGGGATATATTTTCTATTGTCCCCACCTGTCTAATAGAAAGCCAAGGTTGGAGAAAATCAGAAAAGAAGATTTTGTGAAATTCCTTGACAGATGGCCCAGGGTGGAGGAAGGGTGGCCCCAGGCCCAGCACTGGGTGGGGAGAGCAGGGGGCCTCTCTGCCCAGTGGTCCCCTGGGAGGGGGTTGAGCCCAGTCTCTGGTGGGGCATGTCTGAGCATCCCAAAGCCAGGGGTATGACTGGGGCACACTGAAGGCGACCAACAGCAGCGGCAGCAGCAGCCAGATGGCATGGCCAGTGGGTCTGCTCCGAGGACCGAGCCAGAGACAGCACTGGAGGGCAGGCTGCTGCAGACACAAGCACACATCCTGCCCCTCACCCTCACCCCAATCCTGGACCCACCACCTTGGCCTGATCTCTGTGGAGTTTCTTCAGCTCAGCCTGCACAATACCCCACCCTCCCCCGCTCTGCTCTGCTCGCTTGGGGGCCACAGGGGCGGGGCAGGGGTCCCGCCCCACAACTTCATGGAAAGGCTATCTCTTCCCTGACATTCTGACTATCACCAGAGGCCAGGGGAGGAGGGCCGGCCAGGAGGGATCCCACTTATCAGCCCATCTCCCATTACATAATCAGCGCCCATATCTCCACGAGGCATCACTGTCTCCACTTAGCCTTCTCCCACGCGCAGGGGTGCGCCTGCCCGCAGTCCTCCACATCGGGGGGCTAGAGACCTCTGACTCATCTTGGTGTAGGGCTTTAGGGCTTACACAACCCACGGTGGTAGTTTCCCACTCCTTCCCCCAAAAAAAGGACGCCCCACTGGGAGATGCCTTTGTCTCGTGCTAGAGACAAAGAAACCCGGGTCCACAGAGGGGTCAAGAGTCCCAAAACCCAGCTTCAGTGGGGATTGGAGGGTGGGGGTAGAGCGGCTCAAGGGGCAACCCCAACTGGGCTGGGAAACTGAGTTTAGCAACAGAGAAGGTGGAAATTATGTCACTAGAGGGAGGAGAGGGTGACCAAGGGTGAGGGTGGGGGAGTCCTTCTGAGAAGAAGCCACAACCCCAGCATCCAGGGAAGTCACTTTATGAGGTGCTGTGGGGGAGGAGGGTGGGCAGGCAGAGAGGTGGCGACCCTGGGTGTGAGGGAGGGCAAGAGCCTGACACCAGTGCCCAGCAGGCAAAGGCCTCGGCTTCTGTGTAGGGGTTTCTAGAAGCCTTGCAGAAAAACTAAATAGAGCAACAAAAGGACTTAAGTGCGGGTGGCTCGGGCTGCTGCCTCTACATCCTTTGCGCTGCAGAAGGAAAAGCTGCTTCTGCAGAAACCTGGGCACAAAGGGGGCAAGCCAGGCTTCAGCCACAGTGTTTGGGTTCGGCTAGAGTAGCCCAACCCTGCAGGCTGTGACCTGCTCTGGGGTCTGACCACCTGCACTCAGGATGAGCAGGAAGGCCCCTCTGAGAAGGCCAGGGTCCAGGAGAACCCTGAATCTGACAGGGTGAGAGGGGGCTGCTGGGGAGGGCAGCTCAGCACCTTCTTTCCTCCTCTTTGAACCGTGTGTTCAAAGCCAAGGGAACTCTGGTATCCTAAGAAACAGCCGGCTGAGACGGTCAAAGCACCAATCCCTTCAGCTGCTGAAGTGGCCTGCCCCACACTTTTAGTGGACACCCAGGGCTGGAGGACAGGTGCTGGCCAGACACCAAGTAGAGCTTCTGCAGCTCTGACAGGCCCTGCTGACCAAAGGATCTCTATAGGGTGGTCTCGCCTCACTCTGGAGTAAGCCCACCTGGATGTAAAGAATTACCAAGTCCTCTCTCAATAATTAAATACACACACACACACACACACACACACACACACACACACACAATCAAACTGTCCTATGAGATGCTGGATTTTCCACAAAGTAAAATCAAGATGAGTAAAGATGTGGTTTTTAGATAGTGCCCCCAAAAAGCAAAGAGTGCCACAACTGGGACCTATAAAAGCTGCCACCAAGAGGCAAAGGCCACAAGCCACTCGGTAGATCCTGCCTCTGTGTCTGCTCCTGGCTCCTCCTGTTGGCCCCGGACCCCATGGCGCACTGGTTAACTGTGGTCATTGCGCTCACCTGCCTGGGTGGCCTGACATCCCCGAGTCCTGTGCCTCAGCTATCAAACACCTACAAGGAGCTCATTAGGGAACTGATGAACATCACCGACAGCCATAAGGTAAGTGCCTGGGCCTGGACTCTGAGGGTGCCGGAGGGGGGATGGTTTCCTTAGGATGGGGTGGACCACAAAGGACGGGTCTAGTCAAGATACTTGCGGGCCAGGAAGAAGACCCAATGAGCCAGGGTAATGAGAGAAAGAGGGACAGAGAGGGTGAGGGGAGAGGGAGAGAGAGAGAGCAAGTGAGCAAGAGAGAGAGAGCTGTCTAGGGGACATACAATGAGGATGGACCCAAAAAGGGCTCTGGCAGATTTCTCCAGGACCACATGCCAGGCCATCCCCAGGGACAAGCAGAGACCAGCAGCCTCCAGAGCCATTGGCACTTGCCAGTTAGAATTGAAGGCAATCTCAGCCTTCCTTCTAGCCCTCTCTCCTAAAACCAGCTCCTGTCCCCACTGAGGATGGCGCCCACAGGCCTGATGCTGGGTGGACGATATCCCCTTTCATCATTGCCAGACCCCTCAAGGCAGGTACAGGACCCGATTTCTGGCCTGGGTGGCTCCAGAGGGTTCACCCTCTGAAACCCACAGCCTGGGGTGTTTATCCACCAGGCTTCTCTGCCTAGGCAGAGAAGCATTGAATCAGTTTCTCTCTCTCTCAGTTCCGAGGCCCTGGACAATGGTTTCCCACATGGTTGTGGAACAGAAAAGGAAACTCAGGGACAGAACAGGGGGCCCAGGGCCGGAGCAATAGTACAGCAGGTGGGGCACTTGCCTTGTGCACAGCCAACCCGGATAGATCTCCAGCATCCCATATGGCAACCCCTGAGTGCAAAGGCAGGAGTCACTCCTGAGCATTGGCCCAAAACCAAACAAACGAAAGAGAACAGGAGTCCCAGGCCTGAGACCCCTCTTGTCTGCTTGCTCCCACAGGCAGCCCTGTGCAACGGCAGCATGGTGTGGAGCATCAACTTGACCCACGGCAGTGAGGTAAGAAACCAAGGGGCACTGGGAGGGAGGGGGCTGGGCCTGACTCCCTCAGCCTCTGCCATACCTGGCGCTCCCTGCTCCTGCACACCCTAACGACCCCCTCGTCTTCCACAGCAGGAGTACTGCGCCGCCCTGCAATCCCTGAACAACGTCTCCAACTGCAGCGCCCTCAGTAAGACGCGGCACTTGCTCCTTGGCCTCTGCCCTCTGAGGATCAAAGCCGGGGTAAGCCCCTGCCCCACAGAGGGTGGGTGGCGCTTTGGGATTTCCGAGCTCAGCCAGGTGTGAGGACGGCCAGGACACACCTCCCAGGGGCTTTGGGGAGCTTCTGGGAAGCCCCTGGCAGGGGCTGGGGACCCTGCTGCAGCGTCCCCCAAACATCGGGCCTCTTTGTCCTGCAGCAGATCTCCAGGATACTCACCAGAGATACCAAAATTGAAGTGATCCAGTTCGCACGCCACCTGCTCACCCACTTCCGGAAAATGTACAAAAGCATCTGGGCAGCGCAGACCCGGGCCTGAGAAGCCGCTGGGATCCCCGCCCCCCACCCCTCTGCAGAGGAGACCTGACCGCGCCCACTGCAGCTGCGGTTCCTTTCATTCACAAGTTTCTGGGTGGGGGGTGGGAGGGTAGAAAGGGGGAGATTTTCTTAGCTTTAACCTCAGCCTCTGCTGCCTGCCCTTGCCCCAGTCCCAATCCTGCCTTAGCACAGGTACTGGGCCTCCTGGCCTCCCCCACCCCACCCCCAGGGTCCCAGGGGTGCTGGCCGGTAGGAACAAACTGCGCTACTGTGCAGGGCACCTGCCTGTTTACACAAGGGGATACTGAGGCACACTGCAGCTGGCACTCATCTCGGCCTTATTTATTATTGTATGTTATTTAAACAAGTCTTTGTCTGTACCGGGGACAGGGTGTGACTGTAGTCCCAGACTCCAGGGTTCCAGGCACTAAAGCATCGGCCATTGGGAGGCCCCCTGGGGATAAGTACTGTGCACACATTTCCGCTACCTCACTGGAGCCTCGGCCAAGGCTGGGAACAAGGCACAGGCCTAGAATGGTCCCTCCTGTCTGCCAACCAGCCACCCGCCCTCAGCCAAGGAGTAATTTATTGTTTTCCCCTTATATTTAAAGTATTAAAATATGTTATTAAATAATATATCAAAGAGCAGCCCAGAGTACTGTCTCATGTGTGAGGATTGGGTGGTTGGGGGAGGGGGGATGTCACTGAATAACCGGAAGTCAGAGATAAAGATGGTGACAAGAGATGTGTGGCCCTCACCGTGTATCTGGGTCTCGGGAACCAGGCTGTGGTCTCACTAGAGTCTCCGGGACGCAGGGCAGCGGGGGACGGGGGGTGCGAGGAAAGGAACAGAGGGGCAGCGAGGGCCATGATCCAGGCGAAAGAACACAAACCAGACCCTGGCTTATGGGAAGATTGGGGAGATGAGAGATCGGGAAGTTCCCCTACCACACGCCCACAGAGGGGAAGCAGCTAGGTTCAGGGAGGACATTGCCTGGAAGGCTCCTCAGGAGCTTCGACTCACTCAGCGTCCCCGTGTCCGGTCCTCCCACATGCCAGCAGCCGCTCCCACAGAAACTCTCTGGGCCTGAGAGGTGACGTGTCCAGTCTGAGGTCACGGGGCTGGTAAGGAGCCAAGTCGGAGTCTGAACCCCAAACCCACTCTAACTCCAAAACCCACCACACACTGCCCCGATCTGCCTCCCTCTGTCAGAATCTCACCTGGGGCTGCGACATGGCTTGCTGGACTGGAGCAGGCTGCATGCTGGAGCCTGGGGGTTGAACCCTGGCACCACAGGGTCCCCTGAGCACCAGCAGGTGTGGCCCCAAATTAAAAAAGCAAACAAAATCTCACAACACCAAACAAACAAAAAAATGCACCTCATCAGGACAGAAGGCCTAACTTTTAGAATATTGTCATCAACGTGTGGGCGGCCTTTCCAGACAGGGAGTTCACTAGTATGTTTTTGGAAGGGGTTGCGAGGGGCTCTCAAAGGGTATTCAGGATATCTGGGGGGCCCCTTCAGGAGATACTCAGTCACTGGGCCAGCAGTTGAACAGGAGGGCCTGAGGTGTGGTGCCGGCAACCACCAGGGACTTCCCAGCGGGTGCTCAGGGGCCTCCCAGGCTATCCTCATTTGCTTGGGGAACTGTGTGGTGCCACAGATGGTGCCGGGTGGGTATGAGCTTGTCTGTACTAGCAGAAGCGCACATTCAATTTCCTGATCCTCCAGTCCACTCTCACGACCTCTGCAAGCAAAAGGTGCATCAGCCGCCTCGTAGGGCCAGAGGGGACTGGAGTGGGGGTGCACAGGCAGCAACTCTCAGTGGGGCTCTGGGAGAATCTCAGCACCCTATTCACTGTGTACTTTGGTGATGGGTTGAGCAGAGGACATGCTCCACTCCCTGCCTGGGGAGTCGCAAGGGATGCCTCCTTAAGGAGCCCTTGTGGGAACTCCAAGGAAGAGGTCTCAGAGAGACAGTGACTCCCCAGGAGTGGTTAGAGCTCACAGTGACAGGAACATGGGCAACTGAGGCCATGGCAGGGACTGTCCAGGGCACTGATGTGTATGTGTGTGTGGGGGGGGGGGGCACTGCTTTGCCAGGAATCACTCCCCAACACAGCGGCCCTCTCAACTGTACTGGGGCAGACGGGAGGAAGAAGCCCTTATGGCGCTAAAGGAGGATCAGGCCTGGGCACCAGGGTCCCACAGGCTGTTCAAGGTGGGGCCTGTACTACCCCTGCAGACCCCAAGGCTGAGAGGAGACTCTCTGCATCCATCAGTGAGGACCAAAACTCCATGCTCACTCAGCCCCACCCACCAGGAAGAGGCCTCCAAACAGCAGAGGGTCTGTAGAAGGACAGATGCCACTGGGGAGGCCCTGGCAGGGCTAGGAGGGGAGGCCCCTGCCAACCCTCTCCAGACACACACTGGAAGAATTTAGGCCCAGGGGCTTCTGCATGAAAGATTGACTTTGGTGGGTGGGAGGGGTGGAGGGGCACCATTATTCTGGGAGCTACTCTCCACAGGGGCTCATTGAGGGTCACGCCCAATGATGCTGGGGGCCCATGTGCCACACAGCAGTGCTGGGGGACAAACAGCCTCACATGTTCATGGCATGTACACTACCCCATGAGCCAATCCCTAGTCCTTCATTTTTGTTTTGGGGCCACACCCAGCAGTGCTCAGGGCTTACTCCTGGCTCTGCACTCAAGGATCACTCCTTGAGGTACCCAGGGGACCATGTGCCAGGAATAGAAACAGGGTCAGCTGTCTGCAAGGCACTATTTCTCTGGCCCGCCCCTTTCTTTTTTTTGAAGTATGAGGCAGACACTCTCTTTTATTTATGCATGCAGACCTGGTTACTTCCATAAGAACTGAGCCCCAAGCAGCTAACATAAGGTTTTTGATACATCTGTTCTTGGATGTATGGGGTGGGGTTGGGAGCGGGTCATGCAGTTAATGTATCCTATGGATGGTTACAGATCTCAGAATTAGTTTACTTCTCAGTTCCACTTACAACCTGGACTGACTTAGTTCTTAAAACACAGGCATTGGTCTGAATGATTAATAAGTCATATGAGAATATGAGAGAGAGAGAGAGAGAGAGAGAGAGAGAGAGAGAGAGAGAGAGAGAGAACAAAAGTATCTGCTGTAGTGCTGTAGAGACAGTGAAAGGCTGGGGGAGTGTCGGAGGGGAACTGGGGACACTGGTGGTGGGAAATATATATGGGTGAAGGGATGAGTGTTGGAACATTGGATGACTGAAACCAGGCCATGAACAACTTTGCAACTGTGTATCTCACTGTGATTCAGTTAAAAAAAATTTTTAAAGCCATCCATACCTGTTCAGTTCCTGAAATGATTTACTCTGGCATCATGGTTTTAATTCCCACTTCATACAGAGGGCAGGAGAGGAGGCTGACCAAAACAGGGAGAGAAAGCCCATGTTCCCAGCTAAGCAGATACTTCATGAGGACCCCACCCCATGAATGACCTCTCAGACTCTCTCTGATCAACTAAGGAACTGATTTCTTATATCCATAAGGAAGATGAAAAGCCTTCGGATGAAATTCCACGTGGATTTCTTGAGAACAGCCTAGAACTAGACTGGTGAGGAGGGGGCGTGGCAGGGGTTGTCCACTGGGATCAAGAGTTAGAGGATCCTGGTGGTGCCACCCAGTGCCACCACTAGGGGTCCCCTGTGTGCCATATCTCTGGCTTCTCAGCAGCGCCCGCAAGGGGCCTGGTTGACGGCTTCTGGCAGGGGTCAGAATTAGGACCCCTGCCCTGCACCCTCCCAGTGCAGCGAGCTCCTGGCATCCCAGGGACAAAGCACAAAGTCTCTGAGCCACAGAACAAGCCCCTGTTGGCAGCAAGAGGGAGGGAGGCCCAGTCAGAAGTGAGTAGAGGAAGGAGGAGGAAGAAAGAAGAAGGGGGAGAGGCCCACCCACAATTGTGGCTGCTGCCCCCCTAACTCCCCCACTGCCGGAGACCCCACCCTGAGCCTCTCCCTCTGCTGCTGTCCTCTAACCAGGGGCCTCACTGCCTTCATGGCCCAGGCAAATGCCAGAGCGAGGTCCAGAGAGAAGCGGATCACAGGGGGAGAAGGGGGCTCAGTGAGTGGGAGGGAGATGTTATTCTCGGTGCTCGGGGTGGGGAGCCCCTGGCATCCTCGGAACCCCACAACTGGGACGTTTCACTGGAAGAGGGGCTGGGGCTCGGTGAGAAGTGAGACACACACGTGATTTTCCGGTAAACTTGGCCCCAAACACCTCTGTTTGCTGCTCAGGGGAGGTGTCAGAAAACATTTCGAATCGCTGTAGGGGCTCTGTGGGGGCCTGAGGCCACTGTGGCTCAGAACCAGCTGCAGCAAGGCCTGGGCAAAACCAGGGTTGCCTCTGCTTCCTTGAACCCAAGAGGCCTGAAGGTGGGTCGGGGCCCGTCCAGGGGCGTCTCATTTTCCCATTCTGAACCAATAAAGTCCTCCTGACTAGCCTAGTAGCTGGCTGATTTGAACAAACTCTTGAGTAAGCATCTGTCCCCTCACAGATGGCCTTCTGGGCTAATGGACTTAGAGGCCAGCAGCCTGGGACCTGCTAGCCCATCTTCCCGGAGAGCGTGTGGAAACTGGTCCCCAGCCCACCATTCCTGTTCTCAAAAAGAAAAGCCCAGAAGCCTCACCGTCTTCATTCATTTCTCAGCCCCACCCAAAGGCAGTAGAATAAATGGTGTGCGACAAACTTTTCCAAATCAACTGATTTCCCGGCAGCCAAACAGGGCCCTGTGATGAAGCCGTTTGAAATCCCAGAAGTGATTTTCTACTTCCGACCTCACTTTCTGTTGTGTTTGCTTCCTTCCCCTCCTCCGTGGCCCCTCTCTGATGGAAAATGAGTCTCTCAAAAAGCACCACTCAGAAACACCCTGACCTGGGTCAGGCCTGGGCAGAGATTCGGTGTGGCAACCAATAGGCTGATACCAAAATTAAACCGAGAGACCT